TAAGCTTTTTTCTCGTGTTCATTCATTTTCTAGCTCTTTCATTTACAAAGTTCAATCAAGTTCAATCAATTTCCAGAAAATGGCCTCACCAAATTTCCCTGATTTCACTGCTCTTCCTGAGCTTCATGAGGAGACATTTTTTGAGGAAGAAATGATGCCTTTCAACCCCACCCCCACTGAACCAGAAAATGCTCCGGTGGATAATGCTTCAGTATACAAAGAAGAAGCTGGAGAACGCAGTAGAGGAAAAAGACCGCAAACTTCTCCGGCATGGCAGCATTTCATCGAGGAGCCCCGACCAAATCCAAAAACAGGTGAGATGAAAATTCGTGCGGTATGTAAATATTGTAAAAAACACTTTTCTAATAAAAAGGGCGGGGGTACTGGTCATTTGGATAGACATTGGAAAATATGTCTACCGTTGCACCAAGGTGGGAGTGTGGACTCCCACCAACAAACACTATCACTCACATCACATAGGTTACAAAATTTTACATACGATGCACAACGTGCTCGTGAGGCACTAGCTAAATTTCTAGCTAGTGCCGAATTGCCTCTTTCTTTTGCAGATGATGCCTCCTTCGAAAAATTAATCCAGACAGCCTTTTGCCCACAATTTAAACGAGTAAGTAGAAACACAACTCGTTCTGATTGCATGAAAGTTTTTTATGCAATGAGACAATCTCTTGTTGATAATTTTAGGACTTTTAATGCTACTGTCTCTTGCACTTCTGATCTGTGGGAGGGTGCAATAAAACTGGATATTTATGTGTCACAGCGCACTACGTTGATGACGATTGGGTTTTACAAAAACGAATAATTGGTTTTCATTTATGTCCATATCCTCATAACGCAATTTTTGAGTTTTATGGGATAGAAGATAAAGTTTTAACAATTACTTTTGATAATGCGTCAGCTAATACAGTTGCAATTAATCTGTTTAAACGTAGTTTGAAACCGGCATTTGGAGGGGAAATTTTTCATCAACGGTGTGCATGTCACATAATTAATTTAGTAGTTCAGGCAGGAATTGAACATATCTCTGCTAATCTTACAAATATTAGAGAATCATTATCCTTCATATCTAGTTCTGGAGCTCGGCTCCAAGAATT